TTGCTTCTCGTTAATGTTTTAGTTTAGTTTTAGTAAGAGTTTTACGGCACTCGCAACTGCATACGGTCATATGAGCGCCACGTTAATGTTTAATAAAACATTAAAAACAAAGAATAAAACAGTCAAAGTACAAACGACTTTTGGTACAGTAAAGAACTAGTGTGGATGGGCTGATAACTCATTCGGTACTTTGCTGGGCCGCCGTGCCAGCAATCCAAGAACGAATCCCTTTTAGTTCCCGTTGTTTCCATGGTGATCCAACAACTCGGGTCGCACCTATCAGAGTCGGACGTTTCATCAGAGGTCCTGATTCCTAATTGACTTTTTGTGGGTTGAACATTTAAGGATTGTTACTAAATAATACTTGAGTTTGAGTTTGTGATTTCAAGTGGATAGAAGCACATCGACATGCAGTGCATGGAAGAAGCAAGGCAGATAGACAAAAACAACACTGGGGAAAAAGTAAGAACTACCAGCGGCGCCCTCGAAACTCCCGCACTAAATAATATACTACCCTGCCAGGAATCGATATCGGCAGTTAAGCATTGGCTTTAGTTTGGGACAAAGAAGCACATCGACACGACAAAAAGGCCCTTTAGTATTGGAGAAAGTCATATGGACAGACTGAACCATGAGAGGGAGACAAAAGAAGCAGGACCTACCCAAGTAGACAGACAGACAGACAGACAGACAGACAGACAGACAGACAGGCCGACACTCAAACACAAAGACAAACGTAGAGACGGATAGACAAGAGAGTGAATAAAAGGAAACGACACGGTGAAGGCGTGGATTTGTTTTTTAGTTTTAGTAGAGGTTTTATGGCACTCGCAACTGCATACGGTCATATGAGCGCCAGAAGATTACAGGTGTTAGACGTACTTACAAGAGAGTAACAAACATAAAAAAGAAGAAAAGGAGAAGGCCGATAGATGTCTGATAGGAAAGAAGAAGCAAACCACACCAGAGCACCCGCCAACCACCCACGGCGTGGATTGGAATAATTTGGATAGGAGAAAACAAAACCTTCATTTAGAAATGACATTGGCGGAAAACCAAAGTGGACAAAGCTATATTTAGACGTAGATCTATTCCTTCCCGAGCCGTCTGGCGTAAACACAATATTATTCTGGCACTGGGGCTACTGCCCTGGCCTTGCTGACGCGAGAAAGTCCCTTAAGGTCAGCCGCAGACACACGAAAACAACGAAAGGACACGTGTCCATAAACATGTGGGTATTGTCAATGGCACGACAGAAGCACAGTAACAGCGAGACAGAGACAGAGAGATAAAAGGATAGTTGTTGTTTAGACAGAGAGATAAAAGGATAGTTGTTGTTTAGACAGAGAGATAAAAGGATAGTTGTTGTTTAGACAGAGAGATAAAGGGATAGTTGTTGTTTAGACAGAGAGATAAAAGGATAGTTGTTGTTTA